CCCCCACAGCACAAAGCCACCTACAGACCCTCATCTCCCAGCTGTTGTCCCAGACCAAACCTCTCTCTGGCCTCAACCTGGGCGCCTCGGACAGCCTAAGCCTAAGCCTAAGCCCAAGCCCAGCCACGGCCCAGGGCTCTGCTAAGCCTGTGCTCTCCACGCTGCTGAGAACTTCCTCCTCCCAGGATGCGGAGCCAATGGTAATTTTTTTTTTCTTTGTTTTTTTTTTAAACCGCTTCACTGCGGCTCAGCGTGCGGTGTACGTCCATAAATCGGGCCCTCCCATGTGCTGTAGACGTACAGAGTACGGCCGGCAATATCGCTATTTTGTTTTGTTTCAAACCCCACCGGTAATTTTCAATTTAGTATCGAGAGTGGACTCCCCTGAAAGCTCTTTTCTTCCCGAGTTGGACAAGCTTTAGTTTGCCCTAGTTAGACCAACAATGACTGAAATAGCGTGAATTATAGCGTCGCTGAACTGTCACTCTCTCTCTTCACAGTTCTAGCGTCTCACTCTAGCTCCGAGCTACGGCTGATCACTCGCAGTGCATGCTCTCAACGTATCAAGCTATCAAAGAAATCCTTGCTGATAATGATAGCGGTTCATTCATTTCCCCTTTAAAATGATATAGACATTGTTATGCGTTTGATGCATTACCACAGAGTAAATAGCATTTTAAAAGGATCGCCCGTTTGAGTGCTATTCCTGGAAACAAGGTCAGCATAGGGCGAGGAATATAGGTCAGCAGTGAAGGGGTTAAAATAAAAAAATTTAATCTGTTATTTGACTGCTCAAGCAGCCGCATAACAAGGAAAGTGTTAGATTGGAACCCCCAGGGTAAAAGATCAAGGGCAAGACCAGGTGGAACCTGGAGAAGAGTCACGGAAATGGATACGGAAAAGTGGGAAGACCACATGGAGTGACATCAAGCGACTAGCCGCGGATAGGGAAAGGTTTAAAGTGTTTGTTCGTGGCCCATATCCTTATCCAGGGTGGTTGGCGGGTGCTCTGGTGTGGTTTGCTCCTTCTTTCCTATCAAACATCTATCGTCCAACCTTATCTCCCCTCCTTCTTTTTTGTGTTTGTTACTCTCTTGTAACACCTCTAATCTTCGGCACTTATATGACCTTTTTGTGTTGCAAGTGCCGTAAAACTCTTACTAAAACTTTTTTAAATCCAGGGTGAGAAAGGCAATGATGGTGATGATGATTTGACTGCTCAGTTGATCCCAACAGAATTTTAGTTTTTGTAAAATCCATTATTCTTTACGGCAAACTGTAAATAGTTGTTAATTTAGAAATAAAGATTGCCGTTATAGCGTTCCTCATGCTCATGTAACATTATGCAGTTGTAAGCGCTGTAAAACTTTTTCCTAACTGAAACTGCTTTCGGAGGGTGGGTGGTTGACGGGTGCTCTGGTGTGGTTTGCTTCTTCTTTCCTATCAAACCTCTATCGTCCTTATCTCCCCTTCTTCTTTTTTATGTTTGTTACTCTCTTGTAACACCTCTAATCTTCTGGATAATATGACCGTATGCAGTTGCGAGCGCGGTAAAACCTCTACTAAAACTTAAAAAACTGCTTTCACAGGCTATTATCGAATGTTTTTCATGAATACCTCGTCTTTTCACATGCAGGCTGGAAGGAAAGGGACAGGATCGTCCACGTCGGCCAGTTCAGATGTCAGAAGATTGAGGCAGATATCGGGGGCTGGAAATATCGCCGCTGATGTACCCAGTACCGCTCCACCGCCACCACCACCAGCAGCGACTTCCGGTACGACCATCGCCACCGCAGGGGATGTGGGCAGTCAGAGGGCGAGCCCGGACCGCGAGCGTGAGGAAGCGGACGGGGACTCCCAGAGCGCTGACAGTGGCAAGCAGAGGGAGCTGTTCATCGTCACTGATGAGAGCGAGCTGGCAGCGGCGAGTAGCGCCACCCGACGGGACCGGCCCATGTCCTTGAAGAGACGGCGCGAGTCGGCGGGACTGTCGCTGTCACTGCCACCGTCACCCAGCAGGATGACAGCGACATCGTCTTCGAGCTCCTCCCCACCCGCCCCCGCCCCCGCCCGCCCCAATCAGCTGTTCCTTCAAAAGTCTCCGCTGTCACCAGGAAGACAACAGCAACAGCAGCCAGCCACCAACCTCCCCAGCCCGTCTCTCCTCGCCTTCCTCCCGGCCTACGTCTCCTCGCGGCAGGCTCTGAAGGGTCGCTCGGGCAAGCCGACGGACCAGGGCCCCATCATCGGTCAGTTTGTCCGCAAGGACAGCCAGATGACCAGCAGCACGGCCAGCGTGGCGCTCACCCCGAGCCTGGTTCTGGCCGGTCAGTCCCAGCCCTTCCAGTTCAACATTCCCTTCCCTGGTGGGGCAGGAGCCGGGGGGCTGGACACCCCAGTCACGCCCTCTGCCTCCTCCACTACCTCCCTGACCTCCGCGACCTCCGCCAGCGGTGGCTCCAAAGGTTTCCCCCGCACTATTCCAATCGTGACGATCACAGACACGTCTGGCGACACACCCAGCCCCACCGCGGACACACCGTTTGCCAGACTGGCTGACCCTTTGCCGTCCCAGAAGGCAATGCCACTGTCGTCGTCATCTGTGGCGACATCACGGCCCATTACATCCTCTTCCTTAACTTGGGCAGCAGTAGGAGCACCTACATCGACAATATCTACAACAACAACAACAGGGGGGCCGGCATTCTTCTCTTCTGCTCAAACTGTGACGACATTCTCCTCTTCCTCGTCACTGCCGTCTCTGGCAACCATAAAGACGTCGGTAAGTGGCACGGCACTGTCGAGTGTGAGTGGCGGCATCAGTAGCGTCATCAAAACGTCGTCCATCAGGCCGTCGCTGGAGTCGAAGGGCCGGTCAAACTCTGACAGCGCCACCTCGCTCCCCGGGGCCCGGCACGACGGCCCGACGAAGTCACTGCCTCCGCGACGCGACAGTGCCATCGAGTCTCTGATCAGGAAGAGTGCTATGCCGATGTTGCTGATGACGGGCGGGGCTGAGTACGCTGACAGACCCATGCCATCTCCCGCAAGCACCACTACGCTGGTCACGGGGGACAACTCTGCCACAGGCACGTCCCTGGCCACAGGCCGCGCGTCTTCTGCCACAGACGACAACACTCAGGACCAACCAGCGGCCAAACGGGTGCGCCGCTTGAGCTCGGGGAAGTCTCGCTTCCTGCGTCGGCAGCGGTCGCTCGCTGATGATTCCGCGTTTTTGTCACTGGACAAAGAATCTCCGTCGTCTTTGGAGTCCCTCAAAACGCAGAGTTCCGACGGGAGTGTGCCGAAAGCGGATGTTCCCGTGAAAACTGCGGCGGAGTTGGTCAAAAGCAAGTCGTTACAGGACCGCACGACATCCTCCGTGGAGCCTTCGTCGACTCTACAGTCATCCAGGAATTCAGCCCGTGGGGAGCAGGACTCGGAGAAAGTGGAAGGCGAGACAGAGGAGGAGGAGAAGAAGAAGGAGGGTCGTGTGGAAGCAGGCGAACAGCGCAGCGCCATCGGGCAGGTGCGGCAGGAAGTGGAGAAACAGCAGACGTCATGCATGTTCTGCTCCGAGACGTTTGCCAACAAGGAGGCCCACAACACGCACCTGCGCTCGCAGAAACACATCTGGGTGTTGGAGAACCTGGGCATCTTGCCCTCAGGTACCACTCACTTTATTTTTTTATATACATTTTTAAATATATATATTATATATAAAAAATATATATATAAATTTTGCGCTCATATGACTTTATGCAGTTGCAAGCGCCGTAAAACCCTTACTAAAACTAAAAACATATTTTTTTAATTCTTTTTTTATTTTTGTCCCTTACTCATTTCTATGAGATTGACACCATCTGATTAGTAGAAAAGGTGCATTTAATGATGGTGTCCAGTGGTGTATTACATACATAATTATTGTAATATGTGCGTCAAGACGTGGTGGAATCAGGCTTTCGTCAATTTTTGGCCATATGCAGTTATTGATATCGTCTGAAAGCAGATTCATTCGTCTTGCTTTTTATGAAAAGAAAAAAAACCTATTAATCTTGAATAGAAGTTGAGATATTTGCCAATGAAAGAGGTGGGGTGGTTAGCATGGTTTCAGGGGTAAAATTAGTGAGAAAATGGCCGCCAAAGTACAGTAACTTCTACAGCTTAAGAGTCCCTGGAAACTGAATATTTACATATTTTGTGCCATTAAACAGCATTTTTTCAGTAAAATTCACATGGAAATATGATTTTTTATATGGACATAAAAGGTGTTGAGCCAAAAAACAAAAAATGTTAAAAATTGCCATCACCCCTGGCAGGGTATAGGCCACATGCAAGCTCCTTCCATTTATCTCTATCCTGGGCCATCCTTCCTAGCTCGTTCCAAGTGAGCTTCATCTAAATTGCCATACTGGAGGGAAAATGCCTGTTTCTTCGATTTCATTATTTTGACAAGCGCCTGATTTCACCACGATGCCTTACATATATGTATCTGTTGCTGACAGAAATTCAAAGTATATAAATGTATGTCAAGGATCTGAAAGCAGCGTTGGTATAAGGTATGACGGTGGTGGTGGGTGATGATGTGGGTTTTATGTAGTTTTATAAATGATGATGAGGGATGGTGTTTATGTAATATTGACGTTAGTCCTATCTTCACTGTTCAGTTCATAACCAAATCTAGGATTCCAACAGGCACTGCCTATTATCAAACATCAATCATCCTTATCTGTCCTCCCTTTTTTGGGGGGGTATGTTTGTGAGCTCAAGTAACATCTCTATTCTTCGGCACCTATAGGACCTATTTGTGTCGCAAGTGTCATAAAACTCTTAAAAGATCCCTTGGTTTTCCAAAGTCAGTAAGAGTAGGCTTCCCCCACGGACAAAATTTTCAAAATTTCCTACCAACTGATCTTATGCAGTTGCAAGGGCCGTATAACCCTTACCAAAAAAAAAAAAAACCTAAAAAAAACCAAACTCGTACTAAAACAAAAATTAGGAAATGTAATTGATGGGAGTTTTTCTGTCCGGCCCACAGGAACGTATGAGAAGCTACGACAGAGCGAGAGACAGGAGAAGGGAGTTGGGAGAAGTCGGGAGGAGGAGGAGGAGAAGGTCAAGCAGGAGCTGGAAATGGAGAAGCAGACGCTGGACGGCCTGAGGATGGAGACCTCCGCCGCTGACGGTGTCCTTGACCCGCAGCCAGCCTCCTCAATGAAGACGGAGAGCGCGGGCACCGCGGCAACAGCCCCACCCATCTCTTCTGCTGTCGGGGACCGAGTGAGGGCCGCTGGCGTTATGGCGGCGGCGGCCGAGGGCAAAGGGGAAGCGAGCAAGGCTGGTTTGGTAGCCGCGGTACCGTTGGTGGGGCCTGTGGTGACCGACGTCCCTTTGTTGCGGCGAGCGTACAGTTGCCAGGAGGGATTTATGACGAGCTCGGGTGAGTGTGCTGTACACTAATGAGGAGGAGGAACCCCCCGGGGCGGTGCCTCTGACTGTGTGAAGTGTCTTTAGGCCATTCCCACCTGCTACTAAATCTATAAATGACGAAAACGTCACTAAATGTGTCATTAAATCAAACCAAGTGAACCTATTTTGATAGTTCCTCATCTAATGAATGGACTCCCGATAAAAGATGACCTGTTTTTGCCTATTGCTGAAAAGTTATTTGATGTCAAAGTCGTTGTAAAGGAATGTGCCCCAACTGCTGCCAGCTATTATTGCTATTATTAATTATTATTATTATTGATATCATTATTAATCATCATTATTATTGAATTTTTTATTATAATTATTTTTGTTTTATTATTATTAATAATAATGTATTATTTAATGCCTGTGACTAGAAGGCTTCAAGTGTTGTGCAGTGCAGAATAATCACTCAGGGCAATAGACAAACCAAAAGATGAAAAATATACATTGTGAGACAAATTGACAACACACACATGCACGCACACATGCACACACATACACACACACACGCACGCACACAAACACAAATACACTTGTGCAAACACACACACAAATACACTTGTGCTCACACACACGCTCACACACACGCGAGCGCACACACACACGCACAAATACACTTGTGTGCACACACACACACATACATACACACACACATACACACGCACACACACACACACATACATACACACACACATACACACACACACACACACACACACACACATCTTACAATTCCACACACATTCTCACATACAAAAAAGAAGAGATGGAGATAGAGAATGTGGGGTAGTGGGGAGGGAGAGGAGAGAGAGAAGGGGTGGAGGAGGAGAGAGAGATATATGAAAATGTACATTGTCTTAGTAAAATACACTGCTAGAAGATACTTGCAGATTTCTTCTCACAAGTAACCAGGTTGATATCATAGAGATTGTGATATGAGTTTGATTAACATATTCACTAGGTTTTTCTGTGGAAAGTTTTTTTTTCAATGAAATAGTAATAGATAATAGATAGCATTTGCATAGCGCAAATCCCCGCTCAGCAGCAAGCTCTATGTGCTTTACAATCGATTAGTGTCACCCAGCAGACCTGAGAGCCTTCTGAAACAATCTCAACTTCCTGGGAAGCATACAGTGCAAGCTGCCATTTATGGGCACTAAGACACTAACATACTGACAAGATCTTTCGCTGTCTATGGCATTCCCACCTTGGTGAAGTGAGGAAAATTCATCTAAATTGCCATTCCCAAGGACACAATGTAGGGCCCGTGGCTCAAACCCCCAAACCCGCATTTTCACGATTACGAGTCCGGTAGCCTAACCACTAGGCCACCGCTGCCACATCTTAAATCTAGAATCCGTTCTTGTTTGCCCTTGTAGGCACACTCAAATTCACATGCTTCCTGTTTCATCTTTATCGTTTTGATGAGGGCTTAACACATTTCCTACTTTGATGTACATAGACACGGTTGACGTATACAATGTTATTTTTGTTTTTTTCAGCTGGCGAACACTACAAGCAGAGCGGTCAATGATGGGCAGAACACAGATCAGGTTAGCGCTGAGCAGCTGGACATTGTGAAAGAACAGGTTGAGAGCATCATGGGAGATGTCAAGAAGGTTAGTTAGTACGCTGCCCAAAGCTGACAAAACACTTTTTTTTTGGGTGCATTTTGAGCATCAAATTTTTTTCATATGCAAAATCGGAAGCCTTACCTGTATGAAAATAATCAAAGTCAAACCGTGGCTAGTTGTTCAAGAACTTGGAGGACAAAGTTAGGAAGAACGCCTTTTCTAGATGGTTAAGCTGACAAAATGCCTTTTTAAAAATCTCGAAACTGCTGTGAATAAGAAAAAGATGTTTTGGCAGCATATGGTTGGCAGTGCAGTAGACCAACACTAACGGCCTGTTCAAAACAATTACCTGTACAAACAACCACCCCTGATCTTCGGCACTTATATGACCTTTTTGTGTTGCAAGTGCCGTAAAACTCTTGCCGAAACAACAAAACATGACTATTTGTGTCTTATTTTCCCAGATGGAATCAGCCAGCGATCGAGTCAGTTTTGGGGATTACTCTGCCTTCAAAGAGGACACAATAGCTAACTTTGAGGTGAGCTTTGTTCTTATGATGTTGTTGGGGATTTAACGTTGTTGCCTTTGTGGTATCCTCCTCTTCCTCCTCCTCCTCCTCCTCCTCATTCTTCCCCTCTTCCTCCT